GGGAGGGACATGGGAGGTTGGCCAGCCAGGGAGGGACCGCGGGAGGGCTCCAGGGCATGTCTGGCCTTCCTCGCTCAGTCCCTATCATCTGGACCCCAGCAACAAGCTAACCTACCACTCAGAACGTCTGCCCCCTGGTGGTTAGTGCACGTCATAGAGACTGGCCGACCAGTCAACTGTCTGCCCCCTGGTTGTCAGTGTACTTCATAGGGAGCGGTTGAGTGGCCTTAGCATATGATTAGCATATACACTTTGATTGGTTAAATGGCCAAACGGACGATCAGACACTTAGCATATTAGGCTTTTATTATATAGGATAGACGTCCTTATAGAATTCACCCAGCAAGCCTCGAATGGTAGACAACAGTCTGTCTTTTCTGAATAGACACTCAATGCAGGAGCTGTCTCCAGCCTGCAGGCCCCAGGTAAGCCAAGCTGGGTGCCAGCAGGGGCCCCCTGATCACCTCGCTGGTCACCCCGCAGAGGAAGGTGACCGGTGGCAGCAGTGGGGGGGGGCGGGGCCAGCGAACAGGTGGTGCCAGCAGAGCCACCCTCCCTGATCACTGACCAGGCCTAGGGACTGTACCCATGCATGAATTTTGTGCACTGGACCTCTAGTCTGGATATAAACAGGTATTAACTTCAGCAGCCAATAGGTTGAACTCAGATTGGTTTTGCTGGTGAGCATTCTGGAGCCCAGGATGGTAATCCTTCACACTAACAGTTGGGCTGTTCTAAAGGGATTAACCCTATGGCTTGGACAACGGAAGCTGAGGGGCAGGTGATCATGAATAAGCCCTTGTAGGGTTAGGATATGTGGAAAAACATTTGAGTTTGCCTGCAAGAGCCTGAGGCAGTCCTCACTGCCTTCCAAGTCCAGGCTCAGGAGGCACTCACACCTCTGGCAATCAGGAAGCTTATGTCTTTGCTCAAGTATGCACCCTAGCAAATGACCTTTCAGTAGATAGTACAGCAGATTTTTTTGCACAGAAAGACTGGCCACTGAAGTGGCTGTGGGATGGAATGTGGCCAAGGATCCTGGTTTGCCCTTGAAAATCAGTCACAAGGTTAATGTATTAATAGCATGTCTTGTGTGTTGTAAACAATGCCCAAGACAATTGCCACAGGTGTCTGAGGCCATCCACAAAACTTCCCAGCAGGTGCTGGATTGGCAAATGATTATATTGGCCCCCTCCCTCTGTGTGATGGTTCTAAATATGCCCTATTGTGTCAGAAGACTGTGTCTGTCCTAATATAAATTTTCCCTATCATTGTGTAAAACAGGCTGCCACCATTAGGGTGTAAGAGAAGCTCGGTTCAATGTATGGATAACCTTTCATTTGGCCATTCTCTTTGTCCCTCTGCTGCCTGGTGGACTTTATATCACACTGGAGGCCTGGTGCCCAAACTGGCTCTCTGATATCTCCCGAGGGGTCCTGGATTGGAGGGCACAGCAGGCCAGGCCAAGGGACCCCACTGGGGCACGATCAGGGCTGGAGAGGGACATGGGAGGTTGGCCAGCCGGGGAGGGACTGCGGGAGGGCTCCAGGGCATGTCTGGCCTTCCTAGCTCAGTCCCAATCAGGTGGACCCCAGCAGCAAGCTAACCTACCAGTTGGAGCATCTGCCCCCTGGTGGTTAGTGCACATCATAGTGACTGGCCGACCAATCAACTGTCTACCCCCTGGTGGTCAGTGCATTTCATAGGGAGTGGTTGAGTGGCCTTAGCATATGATTAGCATATACACTTTGATTGGTTGAACGGCCAAACGGACGATCGGAGACTTAGCATATTATGCTTTTATTATATAGGATATAAGTCCTTATAGAATTCACCCAGCAAGCCTCGAATGGTAGGCAACAGTCTGTCTTTTCTGAATACTGATTTAAATGTCTCTAATGACAAAAGCTGTCCTCCAAAGCAGATGTCCAAGGGCATGAATACTGCCTTGCAAGGAGGCACCTGTGCCATTATCTAAAGTGAATGTTTTGTGTTCATAATGAGTCTGCTAATGTGTCATCTTTATTAATTCATATGAGGACACAAGTAAATGCCCACCAGTCTATGTGACTTAGAAAATCAATGATTCCAATCATGGGGCTCTTGGTAGAAAAAAATTGTTACTTATTTGGGGAATTATTATCTTAATCTGTGTTTATCTTGCATGTGTCTAAATTCTTGTAGAGGCCTCTGCCTCCAGTGCAGCCAGATAGCTGCCAAATGAGCCATCTCAATGCTAATAAAAAACCTTGCTGACCACTCACGGCCAATTGAGGAAGAGGGGGTGTGGAAAATTGTAAGAGCCAGTGGAAGGGTGGAATGTTGGAGGGAGCCATTAAGAGGATGTGACCACTGGTTTCCCCATGACCTTGACCTGGGCATTCAGCAGCTCCTCACCCACTTTCCCTTAACCTTGGAATGTATGCCCTGCCCACCATTCCCACAAAGTTTTCAAGGATGTAGCCTTAAGAGTAAGGTTTTGTTGGACCACCTGGACTGAACACCTTACTGAACCAGTTAAAGCCTCTCTATAGGTTAAGATTCTGGCCAGGTGCTGAGACCTACTTGTCTCATAGCACAGACTAAGACAAGTCTTGTATGTAGTTCCCTTGCTTATTAAACCTGCCACCTACCAACCTGGAGTGGTCTGTGTCTTTCTTCAGTCTCTCCCTTCCTTCTGTGTAAGGGGGCTGGTGTGCCAACTAATATGTAACCAGACAGAACTTTGCATATTTGGATTTAGCACAACTGTTTCTCCATGTTTCATGTCAAAACTTATTTTGAAACTATTTTAATCTGAAAGTGATGTATATAAATTGGTATTATTTAAATCAATGTGAAAGATTTTCTTATTGCTGAGTACTTACCATTGTAAATGCATGGCTGAGACAAAACATGGATTTTATATTCTAAAGTTATCTGATTATTTAAAACTTCAGATTCATAGCTGAGTTTAATTATAAAATCATTATCAATTAGGAAAAAATGCATGACATTTTTTTTCTAGTGTTTGCTACTATTCCCCAATTGTTTTTCACATTTCCTTCTATTTTTACTTTATTCTTTTCTGTTAATTTTGTCATAGCTTTTCTTTCTTTATATCTTCCTTTTAAAAAATCTCCTTGTTTTTATATCCTTCATTTTACTCCGTTATCCTTGTATGTTTGTTTATTCCTGTTTTTCCTGAAATCACCACTCTTATAAATAAATTCCTTTAAATATATAGGGTTTGGATAATCTTTCTCTGATTTTTAACTACATTGTTTTTCTTTGTTAGCTCCATTTCATTCTTTCAAAAGTAAATGAATCTTTTAAAATCTATAAATATGGACTGAAGGTAGATAATTTTTATGAGCACAATAGTTGCACTATTTCAAACTAATAAGACACTTCATTTGCCTTGAAAAGTCTCATAGAATAAAATTTCCTTGCTGAAATTATTCTTTAGTTTTACCTAAATTGAAACTTTAAAAAATCTTTCTTTACCTTCTTCTGTAGATATATTTCTTAGTTCAAACATAAACTAAATAAAAAGGAAATGATATATAAATATGAAAACATTTATTTTATATTTTCTTGATTATTAAGATTGGTGAAAATAATATTTATTTAAAACATTTTTCTATTACCAAAAATAAACACCATAAAAATAGTAGCTTCAGCAATGTACACAGAAATACTTTTCAAGTTGACATTAGAACATACTGGGTTTTACCAAAGCACAAAACTTATGTTGTGACTGCAATTGTTGAGTGGGTGATAGTTTTCAACTGTAAGCATAACCGGTTAACATACTTTAACAGAAGTCTAGATAGGAGGCAGTATTTACTAGTTTTTAAGACCACAATTTTGGTCTTAACAGAATGGGTCCAAGTTCTGACTTTGCCACTGTGATTTAATTCAAGTTATTTCAGTTCTCTGGGCCTCAAGTTTAATAGGCAGAAAAAATGGAGATTTACAAACAAAGACTATCATAAAGATTGAACAATCTTCAATATACAGAGTATTTAACGTAGTACCTGGCACATAGTGAGCATTCAATGAATGGTTGCTAATATTACTATCAGGCCATTCAAATACACTTGATCAAAATTAATGAAACCATACAAATTGCAAACAAAATTCATTTCATTTCATACCAAAATTGATAGCATTACTAATATTTACACTTTGGGCAAGTGAAAACAGCTAGGCTTTTATGCTCATGAAAGGTGAAACGCTGAATTATTACTAAAGTCTCTGTATGAAATAAAATAGAAAAGGGTAGATGTTGTGGTTGACACATGAAACCAGAAACACCAATCAGGAAGGATATATGCACTCCTGTATTCATAGCAGCACAATTTACAATAGCTAAGATTTGGAAACAACCTAAGTGCCCATCAGCAGATGAGTGGATTAAAAAACTGTGGTACATCTACACAATGGAATACTAC